TCTTTCATTCAGTTTATGTGACACCCATTTTCCACACTTTTGGATCTTTCATATAGCTTTTAAATGGTCAGAAATTGTTTTTGTGCAACATTTAACATTGCTGCTTTTTTTTTTTTTTTACTTAAAGTATTGCCTTCACCCAATTTTGCTTGCAATTGGGTGTCTTCAAACTTTTTTGGTAGTCTCCTACAATTTTTATTTCTAACATCAAAATCATTTTCTCTAAACAATTAAAACCATCTTTTGCATGATGCTTTTGATAGATGATGATCACCATATGCCTCAACAAGCAACTTGATGCGACTATATATATATATGTACATCCCTCGAAATTAGGGTTGGCATTCGGCAATGTCGAACTAACTGCCAACCTTAAAGTGTTTGGTAAAATTTGCTATCTTGTAAAAGGTAAAATTTGCTATCTTGTAGATCTAGCTATCTAGGGATTACTGAACTAATTACTGAAAAAAAAAAATTTAATTTTACTACAATTATTATATGTACTGCGTATTGTAAAATATATGTACTGCAATTATAAGTGTTTTAGTGCACAAGGTATTTTACTAAAACAAGTCATCAAGGTTTTTTTTTAAATTGTGCAATGTCATAGGATTTTAGGATGTAGGAATGCCTTGTTTGAAAAATTTAATGTTACATGGAAAAAAGATGACTAGGTAACTAGTAATTACTAATTACAAATAAGTAGTTGAACTAGGGTGTGAAATATAAAACTAATTTGGTTTCTCGTCAACTTAATCAAGTCTAAACTTATAAAAATTATCTAAAAATTATATTATAAACAATGTTTAGTTTACATTAGTTTGTACTTTGAATTATAATAAAGTTACCATTTGGTAATTGCTAATAAAAATGAGGAAGTTATTTTTATTACACTTATTAGTTTATTTCGTTTAAATTAATTATCCATTATTAGAAATCAGGTAAACTATAGTTTAAAAACGTAATCTGTTCTCCATGCTCAGGCAACAGCCTGTTTCTTTTGGCTTAAAATATATTTCCCGTTGTGCTAAACAGAGGTTCACTCTTAATGGATGAAGGAGGTGCGCACAAAATTTTCATTGAGAACCTTACCAAATCCAGCTTGTCTTTATCGGAGCAGTTGTAATTGTAAACATCCCACCATTTATAAGGGCATTTATTTTTTGGTAATGTTGATAGGCTAAAGTTGAAGTTGACTTTGTCCATGTTGAATCAAAACTATGAATCAATTCAAAGTTTAAACTAATATTTTAAATCTTTAATCAAGTAAGGAAAAAAAAATTCAACTTATAAATTAATAATTAAACATTTATAATATAACTAAACATTTATAGTTGATAAATAATTATGTTTTCCATTGAAAATTAAAAATATTAAATGCAAACAGACCCGTAGTTGCAGGAAGACACAGGAGGCCAGTCTGTATATAGTTTGTGCCTGCTTGCAGTAATCTTTCCATAATATAAATATTATACAACTTTGTCTACAGCAATTATGGTGTGCAAATAAACCTGTAAATAAATTTCTATTAACAGGGCTGAAAGCAACATAATAATTAATTTGAAAATAAACATCAGTTTTTAATTAATTTACAATTTTATTTAGATATTTTTTATTCCTACCATTTTCCTTTTAAATTTTGAGTTTTTCCTCTAGAATTTTTAACTATTATACTTTTTTTCTCCTCCATCAGTGTTTTCACATTTCTGTAAAGCATTTTCATTTATACCCATTTCATCTAAGAAGCTGTACATGCTCATGCTTTCTTTTTTGATTGGACCATCACAATCAGAGCCTTTAATGAAATTAACTTCTTTTGCTTGTTGTAAATGATCGTTTACAATAAGCAAGCAAATTTTATATTAAGTGTACTACCGCTTTCATTTAGAGAATCGATACTCCAAATGAAACGGTAGTACCTTTGATATAAAATTTTATTAAACATGCTATGATCTGTTTCATTAAAATATTTCATTTGAAACAGGGTATGAGATGCATTACAATTTTCAGATGAACATTTTCTTTGTATTTATGAAAATGACTTTTAAGATCAGTTTTAAGTTTATCAACAACAGTTTTGATTCCAGTTGATTTGTCCCTAGCATAGTCAAGAAACGGTATGATCTCTGATGTGTCTGCTCTTACTTTTCGTAGCTATTTCAAAGTGTTTTAGTATGCATACAATTATTGCAGCATGCTGCCAATGATTTTCTGTTATCTGCTTCTGTAATTATAAAATCATTAATTATTCATGTTTTTGAGTGGTGATAAGAAATAATTTTTCTAGCATACATTTCAAGCGCAAAAAAAATAAATACAAGTTACAGTGAAAATAGGTTTTAGTAAATATAACAACAGAATAAAATTAAACATAAAACTTAAAATATAAAAAAGTACCCATTAATTTTAATAAGCAGGCAAACAAAAAAAAAAAAACAATTTAGTTTGCGGCTCGTCTTGCAGAAAAAAGTGTTATTGATTTGATAACTTCTATAAATAATATGAAAAGTCACTCAGGAGGAGTGTCATCAATTATTTAAAATTCCCTTTCTTAATTACTTATAATGAATGAATTCAATAATTTTGCAATTCTTTTGTTACGTAACTCTAAAAATCTAATTCTAAGTAATAGATATAAAAAATCCACGATAATAATTGCTCAATAATGTAAGTGATGTAATATTGTATATATATATATATATATATATATATGTGTGTGTATATATATATATATATATATATATATATATATATATATATATATATATATATATATATATATATATATATATATATATATATATATATATATATATATATATATATATATATATATATATATATATATATATATATATATAAGCCCATCCAATAATTTTTTTCGACTACCAATTTTCATGCGTAGTGGCGTAGAGGTCATATTTATATAAAAAACTTTTATATATTTTATTTTTTCTTGATAGAAGTATTTGCGACGATTGTTTGAAGTTTTGCTTTTTGTGATTTTTAACTAAATTTAGGGCATTTTCCAAGCATGGCGTCAATAGATTTTGATATCAAATCCACTTAATTTGTTCAACAATGTTTTCTCTATGTGTTGCTGTACCAAAAAAATACTGTGCTTATTAATTCAAGAAATATTTTATGCCTATCTTATTAATTACGGTAGATAAATTAACACTTTGGCTACTGTAAAGTGATTTTTTGTTGATCTTCAGGCTTTTTTGTTGACCTAATTGAAGACCTAATTGTTGCATCAAAGAGCATTGCAGAGGAGCATTTAACTTGGAAGTTTATGCTTCCTTTATGTTAAAAAATACCTAGAGTATTTTTTAAGATAAAGGAAGCATATTTAAGCATATTTTTAAGATAAAGGAAGCATAATAACCAAGTATTTTTTAAGATAAAAGAAGGATCCAGCATTTTTTCCAAAAAATGCTGGATCCTTCACATATCAGTGAAGGATCCAGCATTTTTTGGTGTTTGAGATAGCTAACAGACATGACGCAAACTCGAAAAGTTTATATTTTTATACTTATATCAAATAATGATGCTTTGCAAAATATTGCAATAATTGGATGCTGGAAAATAAAAAAGCCCAAAAATTTCATCCCCTCAGCTCCAAAGGTGAGAGCAAAAAGTTTGTAAAATAAATTTTTTGAAATTCTTAACTTTGTTCATATTCGTTGATAAAATTTAAGTTTCATTGAAATATCTGTCAGAGTTCATAAATTATAACTATATAAAGTTTAAACCCACCTCACTTTGAAAGGTTTACAAATTTTATTTAGTCATAATTTTTGAATGCTTAGAGATTGTAAAACAATACTTAAAATTTATCGATGAATCTAAATTTAGTTAAGAATAGCAAAAAAAAAATTATTTCATCAATTTGTACTTTTGGGGCAAAGGATTATATTTTGGATCAAAATTCAATTTATCAAAACCATTCAAAAACTAGAAAGCGAGGAAGCAGTCACTGTAGAAAGCTCCTTGAATTTACTCATCTTCTTTTTTTAATGGTTTTTTTACAAGAACTCTTTATTTGAAGTAGCTTCTGAAGCTTCTCCAAGCTCATCACATGGTCTACATTATCTTGAATAAATTTTACTGTAAGCACAGCAAAATTGAATTTTTTATTACAAAATATTTTTTTTAAAACATGAAATAAGTTTCTTGTTTTAAGAAATAAATATCCTATTCTGCATTTTATTTTTAAAATAAATTTTTTAAACTATGCTCAATAGATTTACAATTTTGCTGTGAGTTCTGATAAGTTGTTAGCAACTTTTAAAGATTTTAAAAGTTTTGGAATTCATTGTACCCAAAAAGTCTGTTGGAGTCTTGTCCGTGGGAATTTTTTAAACTATGACTTGGAATATTGAAAATTAACCAGTAGTCTAGTGAAACATACAACTCAAGACCTAGTGGCTGGTCTTTATCAACAAAAACTGCTTTCAATAGGATTTCAGTTTTGATTCTATCCGTTTTTACATCTTTTCGGCCCTCTCTTTGTTTTTGAATACAGAACTTTGTACCATTTTTATATTTTGATCTCGATCAAAAGATGTTAACGCCAGCACCAAACACCTCTATGGTTTTACCATGATTTAAATTTCACCTCTGCAGCAGACTCAATATACATCTGCCAATAGTCTTGTTGATCTTAAAAGTATAAATTAAAAACAATACAATGAAGATTAAATAAAGTTTAAACTAGGGCCCTGCGAATCACCTTTTTTATTTATGAATCAAATCACGATTCGAAGCAGGCCTTGATTCACAAATAGAATTGAATCACGAGTCCAATCAGCATTTTGAGGAAATCTAAGTTTAACTAGACCATTGATATCTTTAAAATGCTGATTTGATTCAAGATTTGATTTGACAAGGTTTGATTTGCGAGACAAGGTTTGATTTGGGAATTAATGTCTGCTTTAATTTGTTACTTGATTTGATACCAAAAAAGGTGACTTGCAGGGCCCTAGTTTAAAATGACATGGCTAAATACTTATTACGTTTATTTTTGACAAGATAAAATTAAAAAGGTATTTCTTTTAAATTTATTTTTATTATGTTTCTATTTATTTAAAAAAAGTCTGTCATTAGAAAAGTTCAGAGTTATTTTCTTTGTATTTTACATCTAATTTTAAACTATTGTTTTTATACAATTTGTTACTTTATGACATAAATTATTCTTATAATAATTTATGACATAAATTATTCTAAAGTAAGAAGAGTAAAATATCAAAACTTATAAAATTACAAAACCGGGATTTGGAGAACCTTGGAGAGAGAAATTTAGTCAGCCACTCTATTGATCTCTGAGTATTTTATTACTCGAGATAAAAACCTGCCTGATTTTCGGGAAATTGCCTGATTTTTGGGAAATGCCTGATTTCATGAAATTCAAGGCATATGAGACAGCTCCATTTTTGTTAATTTTCACCTAATGGTCTGATTTATTCCACAAGTTCACAATAATCTCTGCTCTTCTCAAAAGTCTATATGCAAATAATTTTAAAATTAAAAATTATTCATTTTGTTTTTGCAAAAGATATTTTAAAGTGAAACAGTTTTATCTTTACTACACTATTTTTTAACCTTTTATGTTTTTATGACATAATTAGTTTATTCCCCAGTTTAACTGTTTAATTAACGGCTATGGCTATATGAATGTTAACATGAATAATGTTTGGCCATGAAATACCACTAGTTAACAAAAATAATAGTAATAAAAATGCATATACTCCTAGATCTACTTTACGGTGACATTCGCAAAAATTCTACTATAAGGCGACATAGCAGTTTTTACCACAAAAAAAAATTTTTTTTGCGCTATAACAACTTCACTCATTTTATAATTACTCCTTTGAGCATATTCTATTGAAATTAGAATAATTGCACTTCCCCACAGTGATATACAAAAAAAAGTGTTACCTTAACGTTTATTCTTTTGTTGATTTTACTCAGTTGCGTCACCTTAGGGTAAAACATCATTGTGAAAACTTATCAACTATGAAGGAAAGCCTTAACAGATGTTAGCGAAATTAATAAATTTAAGTTAATAAGACTTTGTTCTTATATAAAATAGTAAAAAACTAAGTTTTGTGTTTCGCTAAAGTAAAAAATTAGAGTTTTAGTGAAAAAAAAAACTATATTTTTTATTCGCGCATTTTATTCGCACACTTCGTGCTAAAAGTTTAGAAAATAGTAAAATATAGTCGACTAACTCCTAAATTATGTTTTAATCATAAAAATAATTATATATATACATATAAAAACACTTAAAATCTTTCAAATGTACAAACTGTCACCATATGGCATTTGTAGGCAAATTTGCCGTTTTATACAATAAACACTCTCAAAACTGCCTTTTCCATATCTCCCCAAAAAAAATTTAGTTTGATCCAAAATTTATTTTTTATATTATTTAAATAGATACCTAAAGCTAGGTAAAGTTTAATTTATAATGCGCAAACAAAAAGCCATTAAATTTGAATCAGAAACGTTAAGGTGACCACAAATAGTTGCCTTAACACAACTGTCGCCTTATAGCGCGTTTTTTTAGCACGTTTTGTCGCCATTGAGTATATCTAGTGATATATATATATATATATATATATATATATATATATATATATATATATATATATATATATATATATATATATATATATATATGTATATATATATATATGTATATATATATATATGTATATATATATATATATATATATATATATATATATATATATATATATATATATATATATATATATATATATATATATATGTATATATATATATATGTATATATATATATATATATATATATATATATATATATATATATATATATATATATATATATATATATATATATATATATATATATATATATATATATATAAATTTATTTACTTCTGTGTTTATATATGTATTTAGACCTTGAAATGAAAATTGAAAGTCAGCTAAAGGTGATATTTTTTGTTATTTTGAGTTTGTTAACCATTTTTAATGCTTTTAACATCCTAAATAATTTTTTCTATTTTTAGTATGATTGCGTTGTAAGTTGTTTTAGTGAAATACAAACTCTTTTGAAACGAATATTAGAAAATATGCCATTGAAAATGCCTACAATTTTGAATGACTCTGAACCTTTGCTATGGTAACAATTGTTATCATTCTAATTGTCAATAATTGTTTTATTTTTTAAATTGAATTTATTTTTTTAATTAAATTTCTTTTTTTTCTTCAACTAATTTCTTTTTAAATTTTTATTTTTTAAAAGGCTTGAGTCCATCAGTTTTCTTGTCAAACTCAATCACTCAATCTTTCTCAAGTTTTATAAAGATAAATACTATAAAAGAGCAGGTAGAATTTTTTTTTTTAGGTCTGTTATTAGGTACAAAAAGAATTAAAAATAAAAAAAAATTAAAAATTAAGTTATATGAAAATGGTATGAAAAGTAATGGTATTAAATATGACACATAAGCAGTACTTTTATACAAAATGAATAAAAAACATTTTTTTAATTTATTTGTTAAAAAAATTAATTTTTTAAATATAATTTAATTAATTTTTTTAATAAATTAATTTTTTAATTAATTTATTAAAAAAATTCATTTTTGTTGAAACAAGTTTTTGTTTTTGCTAGAACAATGAAGGTTTTTTTGATCTTATTTGATCAGTACACATAAAGTTTCATTTTGTCTTTTTTTGTGAAAACAAATCACAGCGTTGCATTACATCACAAAAAAAATGTTTTGTAAAAAATATCAAAAAAATATTCTTAATATTTTGTAGCTGTTATATTTTTATTTAATGTTGTTATATTTTGTTTATTACTGTTATATGTGTCTTGTAACCTTTTAAACTATTTTTTCTATTTAAATTTTTGATTTTTTTATATTCTTTAATAAATTTTATCATTTATTCATATTTTTTTGAAATAAATCACTTTCAAAAAAAAAAAAAAAAAAAATTGCATTTAAATAATTAATTTAATTTGCCATTTAAAAATAAAACAATTGTGAGTAGGAAATAATTGTGTTTTAATAATTTTTTTGTTTTACTTAATTTTATTTTTTTTAATGAATTTTCAAAAATATAATAATACATTTAATAGAAAATGTAAAACCCAAAGTTCATTCACTCTGATCCAAGTTGGTGTCTCTGATCCAAGTTGGTGTATTAATTTTTCAAGTGAATATTATTGTATAACACATATACTTGAACATGTGTTATATGTTAATAACTGTTTTGATGTAAGGCCAAAGTTTAAGTCTTAGGCTTTTCCTATGCCTTGAAACTTTTACCTTTGGTCTTTGGACATGTAACCTTAGTTTAGCCTTTGCTTTTTTTTTGAACTCTGAATTTAACTTAAAGAAATACATTTTGGCATGTAGAATAAGTGATTGTGTAAAGAATACATCCCCCTCTTTAAGATTTTGTAAAAATTTGTTTGTAAATTTTATATGGCATTATACAAAAAAAAATCAGAACTTTTAAAATTAAAATAGTGGTAAGAATTGCTTAAATTGCTAATAAGATGGAAATTGTATTTTATTATTAATATTTTTATGATAAAATATTAATTAAATAATTATTTAAATATCACTTTTAATACTTCATTTCATTAAAAAAAAAAAACATCAATTTCTTTTTAAAACATAACTCATATATTATTATGTTAATATTAAAATAAAATTAACAAATTATTTTGTTCACGTTTAATATAAATATTTTTAACAAAGAAAACATGGTTAATTTTGAGTAAAAACAAAACAAAAATTCAGTAAAACCAATGGATCAATCTGTATTAACTGCCTTAATTTATATATAATTAAATACCATTTTAAAGATCAGTTTTAAAATTCACAATTGTGGCTTGTGAAAAAGTCACGATCAGGGCTTGCCGCAATAAAAAAAGCTGAATGCACTATTAAATTTAATTAAGCAAACAAATAGACTTTAATTAACTATGTCCATGTTTCTCATTATTAAGTTCTTTATCAATAATTATTCTTAATAATGAATTTAAGAGGATTTGAAAAAAAAATGCAGTTTGACTTTATAATAATGATTTTATAGACTTAAATATTTTTTATTTTGATGCTTTCTAGTTACTTCATACTATTTGTTCAATAACTATTTAGATTGCATTGAAACCATTATTTGTCTTTTTTATGCTATCTTTTTAAAGTAATAAAAACTCAGAAACTGTAACAAAATTTAATTTATGTAATTTGTATCTTGTACAAGTTTGACACATTATCAATAATATTTATTATTTATTTTATAATTTCCGAAAACAATAAAACTATACCTGATTAATAAAAAAAACCGATAGCAACCAATTAGATATAAATAAAACACAGTGAATTTCTTAGTTACAGGCTTAATAAAAAACCCATTATCATATAGTAAAAGAGGTTAAAAATAAATGCTACCCCGAAAACACTCAGTTCAGTTACTACTTTGAGGTACCATTCTTCTTTTTCATACTACATCAGAAATATATTCAGTTTAAAGTGTTATTTTAAATTTGCCTGTGGTTAAAGATTGTACTAGACTAATTTTAATGTACAAAGCTGGCTTTGATGTTGCAACAGGGCAATATAATTATAAACAGCAATCAGACGATACACGTAAGCTTAATACAGATGAATCGCTTTTTATGACTTGCTTAGTTCCTCCAAATTTGGAGGAACTAAAACTTTTTATGACTTGCTTAGTTCCTCCAAAATTGTTTTAAAGATGATAAAAAACATGTTATTTGGTTAAATCTGACACCATGATGAGCTAGTTACTTTAGACCTCTCAGATTTATATATAGAAAAGAAACAAAAGAATTCTAGCAAATTGTGAGTCCTATAAAAAATATTATGTTGTATCTGTTCTATTGGAGAACAGTACAATAAAGGAAGTTGAAGGACATTTATAAATTTAACAATTATAGATGGACAAAATCAAATTATTATTTTCAAAGCAACTCTCTCTAATATTGATCAGTATATGGTGCATCTCCTATGGAAATGAAACATTTATTTTTAGTAGTTCAAAAAAACAACAATAATAAAACACAATACCAGACATGGTTTTTAATTTTGCATGCTTGAATAAGATTTTTAGAATTAATGCTCTTTAGGCTAGAACTGAAGGAAAAAAAAATATTATTAAACTGAGAAAAGTTGAAATCCAAGTTGAATTTCAACTTGGATTTCAATCTATCTGGTTACACAGATAGACCATTTTTTTAGCCATATGATGTCTCAACTTTAATATTAAACATAGATGTAGATCTTATGAAAATGCTTTGTATTATTCTGGACATAATATCATGTAGTTATGACATAAATCACCAAAATTTAGATTACTCTGTTGAGAATTTACTTCGCTCTATATAAATTTACACCTATGGTATCCCGTGACCCAAACACTTCAAAGATTATGATTCATGGCAATGAAGTTATTAAGTTATTTACTCTTCCATTAGGTATGCTTTCTGAAGAGGCTCTAATATTAATTTTTTAATCAAATACAAATATCGGTATTTGAGATTTTACTAGAAAGTCCAATTTAAAAAAAAAATAATTTAGAACTTTTTTATTGTCATTTATGTGCATCTGATCACTAACATTTAGAAGGAAGATACGTAACAAAAAAAAAAAAAAATGTCTAGTGTCATTAAACTATTGTAAAAGCCGACTACAGAATACTCTACATAAAATTTAAATAATATCCTTGTTGTTAATTTAATTGGGTGATAACAGATTTTTTTATAAATTGAAAAAATGGAGTTTTTAAATAATTTTTGTAATTTTTTTGATGAAATTGTAAAAAAAATTTGAAGTTTTAAAGCTTTAAAATGGGATAAATAAACGTTAAAAATAAGTAAACAAAAATATATAAAAAAAAACAGTAAAAGCTCTTCAAAAGGATCCTTAAATAACAATAAAAAGCTATCATAGACATTATCTATGGCATTTCATGCACAGATTAATTGGCATATTTGTATTTACAACAGAGACTTCATTATAAGTGTTACATAAAGTGTTACAAGTACATAATAAGTGTTTGGGTTCATACAATTTACATTTGTAGGTTGTTTTTTTTCATTAAATTTCTAAAAAATCAACCAAATGTCAACTGTCAACTAAAAGTCAACTGTAAGAACCATAATTCTTCAATTATTTTTTTGGAGCAGTGCAAACTGCTCTCATTTTTAACTCCATTATATATCTCATTTTTAATATTTTTTTAAAATGTTAAAAATGGGATATATAATGGAGTTAGGGTTTACAAAACATATAGGGAATGTTATTTAAGAAGCTGTGACGCAATAGTCAACTTGCTTATTTTGAGAATTAAGAAATACGAGGTTAATACTATCTATAGTCATATCTGCAACGTTGGTAAGGAAGAAGGTTTAAACTTTCTGGTTAAATGTTCTTCTGCGGTGCTCTGTGACAAGACTGTAAGGACTTTTGTAAATACGTGGAGAACCTAAAATATCAGAACAAAGAAAAAAACAGCATAAAAAAAGCAACATTTATAAATTTTATTAACTGTTCAGGCATAGTTCATATGTAAAGTTTGGGCTTTTATCTTTTTTTCTACCCCAACACATGAGTACACCTGTGCAAATCACTACAAGAAATAAAAAGTTAAGTTATTAGTATAAGATTAGTTTGAAATTGCCTAGGACTTTTGTACTAATCGAAATTCCCTAGTATTATATGAGAATATTGTCTTGATGAAGGTGTTTAGGTATATTGTCTTGAAGCCTATCGTTTTTGAAGCTTTTTAAACCTATCACTTTTAAGTCCTTACATAAAAAGAGTTGCAACATTCTCTTTGTGTACATTCTTTCTGTGTATAATTCTTCTATTTATTGTTGTTTTTATGCAATACCCTCCCATTTGATTTTATATGTAAGATTAATCTTTCAGTTACAGCCAAAAAGGATTTACTTGTTCTATAAAACATTTTAACTTTGTATACTGTATATAAATTGTAACTTGTATATAAATTAAATAAACTAAAAATAATGTTTCAGGTCAATAAAATATGATAGATAAAATTAAATGAAGATAAATATTTTTTTCAGTCCTTAACTTCATTGCAACACCTCTATTGAATTAACTAAATATTATGCTCTCTTTTCAAAAACTCATGTGACCGGTTACAATGAAAATGATATTAGAACAAGTTATTTCTAGGACTTAACTTGAACCAAAAGAGTGAAACATGTATTCAAAGTAATAGTAAAATGTTGATCAATTAAATTAATATCCTTTTTATGCCCAGTTTATACAATGTTATATGATTGAAGTTCATTTATAAGCTTATATATAATAATTATAAACTTATATATAATATAGCTTTATAGGCTTATATTTAATAATAATTGAAGTTCCTTTGATATTATAGAAAGCTTATGTTTGAGTTTATTTATTCAGTTATCAATTAATAATACAAATTGTTAATGTAAACAAATATAAATGTTAAAAAATTGTGCTTCTTTTTTATTTTAAATATTAAAATGAGATAATAAAGCTTTACGAGAAGTAGGGGTATAAACTCTTCTGATGATATCTGCTGCAGCAGGCGATTTTTGGTAGATGATGTTTTAGTTTTTAAATTGTTGTCTCATCAACTATTATACTTATATTATACATATTATAATATTATATAAAAATAATATTGATAAACTTCTATATAGTATTATTTAACAAAGTTTTAAAATTATTTAAAATTAACTTTATCTTTTGGTAAAGTATTTTTGGGTTGTCTTAAATATAGCATGCTCACACAACAATAAATAAAAAAAAAATTTTATGCAGTTGGTAATCTTACTAACCTATCATTTTTGATAGTTATTATCTGCAAATCTCGAAATTTCAAACTTTCTATTTAGTTATCTTACATTCGCTAAATTTGTTCAACGAAATCATGAAATTAATTCAAAAAAAGAAAATCAAATGTATTGTACTGTTTTTGTTGCAAACTTGTTTTGTAAAACAAATTATAAAAACTAAAGCAAACCTTATCATTTGTATTTCATAATTTATTTTCTTACAATAGTGAAAGTCATTTTAAATTTTTAAAACCAAGTGTGATTGCAATCATTAGGTTTTTACTATATTATTGTTTTCTCCTAAATTGTTATTAAAATTGAGCATTCAGACCATCAGAGCATTAAGAGCCTCTAATTTGTTAATTAAAAAATTGTTGCCAATCCTCTTAAATTACCAATAGCATTTAGGATAATTGTATGTTTTTCATCTAAACAACAGATCAGTATATTTTTGTGGTTCTCTGAGTTATGGAAGTCATTTTATGAATATAAAATAATGTAATAGAGTAATGGGATTAAAAATTTCATAATTTTTTGTTTTTATTGGTTTTTTGTATTTTGTATTTTTTTAAACTATTTCAATTTACTAAATAATAAAAATACCAAAACTAGTTTATTTAAAAAATTATACCAAAACTAGTTTATTTAAAAAATTATATCAAAACTAGTTTATTTAAAAAACTATACCATTAAATGTTCGAATTAAATTAATTCGAAATGTTCAGATTTATTCATTTGTTAAACATACTCATAATGTTTGTTAAACACTTGTTAAACATACTCAAAATGTTTGTTGAACACTTGTTAAACATACTCATGTTTGTTGAACACTTGTTAAACATATTCATAATGTTTGTTAAACACTTGTTAAACATACTCAAAATGTTTGTTGAACACTTTTTAAACATACTCATGTTTGTTGAACACTTGTTAAACATACTCATGTTTGTTGTACATTTGTTAAACATATTCATAATGTTTGTTGAATACTTGTTAAACATACTCATAATGTTTGTTGAACACTTGTTAAACATACTCATAATGTTGGTTGAACACTTGTTAAACATACTCAAAATGTTTGTTGAACACTTGTTAAACATACTCAAAATGTTTGTTAAACACTTGTTAAACATACTCATGTTTGTTGAACACTTGTTAAACATATTCATAATGTTTGTTGAACACTTGTTAAACATACTCATAAAATTTGTTGAACATACTTATTATTTTAAAATTATCATGGAAAATCATAACCATGTTTATTGCTATATTTTAAACTAATGTCTTGAAATTATATTTCTTATATATATTACATCCTAATTGGTTATGAGTAAGCTTTTGAAACTATTACAAAACTTTGAAATTTTCAAAACATTTTTTACCATATAAAGTATTTAAAAAATGAAAAAAAAAGTGTAAAAAAAACAGGTAATAATAGTAAATAATTGGAAAAAATGAATAGCAAGTACTGTTACAATTGTAAACAGAAAATTCCTAACAAAGAAATAAGTAAATAATGTATCTTTGAAACAGATTTAATTTTAAGTATTGAATTTTACTAATATAAAATTAGAAAACTATGGAGTAAGAAACATTAACTTAATATTGTTTATTCATTGAAATTTAAAAACTCTGGGCAATGTGTATATTATGTGAGCTTTTATTTGCAGTGACTTTTTATTCAAATCTTTTTTAAATTCATTAATTATAACCAGTATTATTTGATAAATTTTTTGTAAACATTTTATAAATTATATTTATAGTAGTTTTATTTTTTCAGTTGCTACCATGTTAGATGAATTAGTTCACAAAACTGAAAAGTAAGAATAAGTTGTTATAAAAAGTTTTTCATGCTATAAATAATGCAACAGAAGATTGTATTTTTATTTGTTATGTCTTGTTTTACATTGTCTTCCATAATCCTATTTATCTTCTTTTTTTTTTATTTATTTGTTGTTGTTATTTTAATTTTTTGTTTTCAAAACATACTTAAACATATATTTGTGAGATATTTATAAAAGTTTATAGGATTCTGAAATCGAATACTTTTTATAAAAAAATTTTATGTTTATAGTTAAAGAAATTGAAAGAAAAAAAACTTAAACATTTAAACCTTAAACCATTAAGACCATCTACAGATGGTCATCACTAAAATGTAATACTGTTCAAATTTAATAAAAATTTGGTTTTAAGGCCATTTTTTGTCTGTAAAATGACAACAAATTTGAACATGTTCTTGTTTGATTGTTTTGGTTATTCTTGTTGAGAATTTTCTAATGACAAAATTTAAGTTATTTCTATTTCAGTGGTTTAAGGGTTAAGCTAAAAGAATATTTATTTAACTTCATTATACCTAGAAAATATTTATTTAAGAAATAACTGTGATATATATATATATATATATATATATATATATATATATATATATATATATATATATATATATATATATATATAAATATATATATATATATATATATATATATATATATATATATATATATATATATATATATATATATATATATATATATATATATAATATATATATATATATATATATATATATATATATATATATATATAAATTGTGCGTTAATATAATTTTATTATTGTTTTATATATTTTTTATAAACTTGTATATAAATAATGCGAAGTCTTTTTGAAACAAAATAAATCAATTATTAATGGTTTACTTTTTTTTATTTATATTTTAATATTCTCAAAAAGAAAGTTTATGAAAATAATAATTTTGTTTAAATATTTTTTTCTTATAGGGAAAAATTACAAACAAATCTATTATCTCTAAGTGAAAAATTAGAATGGCTTATTGCATATCAAATTTCTGTTGAAAAAGATGTTATTCAACGGCTGAGGTAAAAAATAAACTTTTATAAATCTGCTGTAACACATTTATAAAAAATAAAATATTTTGCAAATGCAATATTAACATTGATAAACAAAAACCCATGTTAATTATTTAAACAGCAATTTTGTTTTGACTAGCAAAGAATAATTTAGGAAAGAATATTTTTTTAAATTTGTCTTGCTTAGCGTTTCAACTTGCGTTATATAAAAGTATAAAAACGTTTTGCCTGCTTTTAGCATATTTTTGATACATAGTTTAGAACGCCTTCGCCAGGAATTTAATTCATAAATTTTTTATGTTATTGTAAAAATGTTTTACATTTTAAACAAATCACAAAGAAACGAAAAGAAAGCTATAGAGAAATATCGTTTTTAATGATTAAATCTTTTTTTTTTAATTTTAGAAAATTAAAAAAAAATTAAATTAAATATAAAAGTCTTAATTATGCAAACTCTTTTGTTAATTATTCTTAAAACAAAAAACAAATACTTCTCCGCAAAACTTTAATCGTGCAAACTTAAAAAAATACTCAACTAAAATAATATAAGTATATTTAATAATTTGAATCGTATCTGTTTATAATAAATGTTCATAAAAATTTGTTTATTAAAAATCCTTAACTTATAAACTAACACAAAAGTATTTTTATTCTACGTATAATTACAAAAAAAAAAAACTCTTTTTTTTCTTCGTTTGTAAGCAATTTAACTTAATAAAATAAAAAAAGAATAAATATGTTAAGAACAAATTTAATTTATTTATTAAACTATATATTTATTTTAATTTATATATCAACTTAAGTTAAATATAGTAACATGTTAAAATATTTTAACATGACTTGTGTTATTTATAAACCGTAGGGCAGCTGCCCTTACGGCACAATTGTTTTAGGATTATATTTTATTTTGATGAAGATCACATAACTTACATTTGATTTTAATAATGTAAGTCTTCTCTTTTTCTGTGATCATCGCATCGGCAAAGCATCGGCAAAGTCCCAAGATTTAAAAGTTTTTAAAGGAAATCTTTTGTCCTTCAAAATACAATCCATATTCGAACTTTAAACAATTAGAGAGAATAGAAATATAAAAGGTTTTTATATACTAGTTTGTCTTGTTTTATAAAGAAAAATACATATTCATTAATAAAAAATAGAGACTGTCATTAAACTAAAACGTGCTTTAGTATTTATTTAACGGAATCTGTAATGTGCGCGTGCATAATGAAACCTCCTTATATAAATATATTCAACATAATGTTAGTGTCATCAGGGGATGTTATAGTCTACTCGTGATTTCTTTACCTTATAATATAACTTAATCTATGAAAAAAATTTATTGAATCGCACGCAGAAGAAATTTAACAAATTGTCTTCATTCAAAATTTGCGAGTAACAGGTAATTTTTTTTTTCTGTGCTGGCCCCCTCCCCACGCATAACTTAAAAGCAAAGGTAATCTATATACCTTTAACTAATAAAAAAAGCAAAGAGTAATAATTAATGAAGTAATTTTTAAAAAAATGCAAATAGATTGTTCATTCATTGGCACATTTTTTTTAATATCTTGAAAAAATGTCTTGATATTTTTGTTATCATGATAACAAAAATATTAAGACGTTTTTTGATATTTTTTTTATTTTTATTTTAAAATAAAAATAAAAAAAACCTCCTCAAGGCCGAGAAGGCCACTACAGATGAGGAGGCTACTTATTTGTGGTTATAACCCTCTCTCAACTCTATAACTCTGAAACACGAACCTTGACGAGCAAGGCCGCTGCGCGGAGAAACGAGTTGAGCGCGGTACTACCAGGGATGTGATGGGGATCGAACTCGGAACCACTCGTTTATGAAGCGAGCGCTCTACCACTACACCACTACCGCATTTTAATTATATATATATTAAAAAAATGTCAACCCTTAATTACAAATTTTTTGCAAATGTTTTTTAATATGAATTTAGTAAAAAACTCAAAAAATTTATATTACAAAAAACATTTATATTCTTTATTAATAAGTTTGGAATATAGATTTTTTAAAAGTTTTTTACTGAAAACTTTAAAAAGTTACTACTTTTTATTAAAAACATTTGCAAAAAATTTGTAGTTAAGGATTGACGAACAGTTTTTCATGTTACTAAATATTTGAATAAAAAGTTAAGCGTAAAATTAAATTTTATAAAAACGTATGATATGTCGCGATAAAAAGTTGCTTCAATTATTTTTAACGTAATTTTTTTTTCTAATAAATATTTTTACATATCGTTATTCAAAAGTTAATGTGGTTTTTTTAAAAATTAATTGCTACTTTTATGTTACCGCTAATTTAAAAGATAAAAAATGATAAAAAGTAGCTTAACCAAAACAGCTCTACACGTACGTAAAAATCGCTTAAGACGTACGTAAATCGTAAGTGGTAGGTGTAAGTGGTAGGCGTAAGTGGTAGGCGTAACGCTTTAAAACAAGGCCTGCTAATGTCTTTGATGAAGTTAACTGGGATACCTAAGGCAAAAGTTGCAAGATATTTAATGAAAATAAGGGAAGGAATGATCTTGGAGAGAAAGAAAGGAAGTGGTAGACCAAGAAAACTTAATTTAAAGGACCAACAATGATTGATTGAAAAGCTTGAAAAGATGAGACACGATCCTCCCAAGATATTCAAATTAAATTCATCAAAAAAGGTAGTCCCAAGGTTAATCTCAGAACCATTAGTTGGTATCTTAACCAAAGTGGGTACTTCAGTTTTTTTCTCAAAAATTAACCCCTATTGACTCCTGTTCAACAAGAAAATAGGGTAAAATGGTGTGAAGAACACCTAAGAACAAGATGGGTATTTAGTGACAAGAGTCGTTTTTAGTTATTTTGAACTTGAGAAGTTCGATGGGCAAAAAAATGACCAGGTATTGGTAAACCAAAGTTCAAACAGAGTTTCATGGTTTGGGGGTGATTAGTTCTAAAGGTAAAACATCATTGCTTATAATCAAGAGCACTGTGAATAGTGAAAAATACAAAGAAATACTTTCTGAAGCTGAGCCAACTTTAAAAAATCTTTTCCCAAAAAGTTTTTTATTTCAACAGGATAGGGCAACGTGCCACACTTCAAAATCAGTTTCTGAGTAGTTTACAGAACATAAATGGAAAGTTTCTTCTTGGCCTGCTAATTCACTGGATCTCATTGAAAATGTGTGGGAGGGGGTTAATGAAAAGAGCAGTCAAAAAGAAAAAACCAAAAAATTTAGATGATTTAGAGGTTGCAAATCAAGTAGTTTGGAACAGACTTTTCTTGGATTATTTGGAGTCATCAATTGACAGTATGAACTGTCGTGTTCAAAAATACATAAAAGTCCAAGGACGTGACCGGATATTGATCAGTATATTTTTTTAAAAATTAGGCTTTACTCTTTATTTTCTTTTGAACAGTTTTATTATTTCATTTATTATTTTCAAAATAAAACCTAAAAAACTTGGTCTCATTTTTTTTGTCGGGAAGCTACTTATTTATAAGTCACCACTTACCACTTGTTATTGCTTAATGATAAGTTTTTTTATGTAAATTTCTAAAAAGATAAAAAAAAAATTGGGAAGCTATCAAAATTTGGGGAAGCTATCAAAAAATGGGGAAGCAATCAAAAAGAAAGTAATAATAATGTCATTTTCATGAACTTTGAAACATTATTTTATTTTTTCCCATTTCATCTGACAATTTGCATTTTATTCTACCTTTGTTTTGTTTCTCAGTAACTTAAGGGTCAGAAACCACCAAGAAATTTTCAAAACAACCTTCTAAGTTCTGAAACTGATTTTTTTTTCTTGATAACTTTAGCACATTCTTATTTGTCTCTAATTTTCCTTCATACGTTATTCTTTCCATGGGTTCATGTTATTGTTTAGCTCAGTTAGGCTAAGTATGTCCTAATAGCTATTAGTTGGTGTCAAACAAACCCAGAGTATTTTTTATAAAAGATATATAACAAACTCCTTATGTACCAATCTCATTATGTATGCCTCTATGTTTCTTTATGTTTCGATGATTCGATGTCAGCTAATAATCTGTCAGCTTGATTCGAAATGTAGTCAGTTTTCTATTTTCCTTGATGTGCAGAAGATGTATAATTAGATTGCCGGTTGTAGTTTTCTTGCTGAATTGGTCAAATTTGCCGACTAAAAATTGTTGATGGGGGGGGGGGGGTCACATCCCTTCTCTCCCCCCCCTCCCCCCTCCCCCCCCCCCCCCCCCCCATCCTTCTTGATCTGATAAATCTGCAAAATCCCACTTGATTCCAATTATTTTTCTAATTAACTTCAGTATATACTTCTTACCTACTTCAAGTCAATAGGTACTACTGGTTTTTTTAAACTCTGACTATGTATAACCATATGAACCAATCATGAAGTAGCCAAATCTTGAGTAATTCATGGAATACTTGTAAAAACTTTACATTAGATTCAGCTATAGGGTTTAGGTGAAAAATCTGAGTCTGGTGATTTTTATTCCCATTTCAAGTTAATTCCATCAGCATCAGAATTTGAAAGTTTTGGAAGGCAAAGCATTGCCATGATAATATTATTGGTATTACATCGCAAAGCTGATTATAAATTTTATGTCCTCAACTGCCTTTATAACCAAGTTTGATTTCAATCACTAAATAATTTAGTTCAGATATGACTGGCATTTTCAATTAAAGAATTTGGGACACACTGATTTTGATTGACACTGAAAAAGTAGAGTAAGCTCTAATACATGGCTCAGGTATGGAATCGTTCCCAGAGGAGTGATCCATGTTAAGAACATCTTTGGGACAATATCTCTCATAAGTCAAAGATTTTCCAATTTTTTAATTTTGAGAAATATTATCCCATCTTTTTCTTTTCCTTAGTGTAACAGTATTGGAATTGTATCATCTTGATTTAACTTTATTTATTGACAGCAAAACCTACATAAACAAGGTTAACAATAAATGTATTTAATATTCCATAATAATTAAGTTTATTTAATTATGTTATTTATATATTTGAATTTTATGTTTATCTGTGTTTTATGAGAGCTTAATTGTCAATTTTGATACCTTTTGTATATATAGCAAGGATAAAAGTCAACTTAAAAAAAAAATTTTTCAGCTTCCATAACAACAACATAATAAATCTCTCTCTCTCTCTCTCTCTCTCTCTCTCTCTCTCTCTCTATATATATATATATATATATATATATATATATATATATATATATATATATATATATATATATATATATATATATATATATATATATATATATATATATATATATATATATATATATATATATATATATATATATATATATATATATATATATATATATATATATATATATATATATCAGAGGTGGAAACTAATGAATTACATTTACTCACATTACTGTAATCGAGTAGTTTTTTTGTAAGTTCTATACTTTTTTGGATTTTTTAAATGTATTTGAAATGAATAAACTTAAATAGAACATATACTTTTACTTAAGTTTATTCATGGCCTACTATACTATACTACATATACTATACTATTCTACATATACATATACTATATTACATATACATTACTATATTATATTTAAGCAGCCGTAGCGCAGTGGTAGCGCACTTGCCTCAGAAACGTAAGATCTGTGGTTCAAACCCCACCTCTGGGCAAGTTTTGCGACATTGGTTGGGAAGGAGGTGTGAACTTCCTATTAAATGCTCTTCCGCGGTGCTCTGTGATAAGACCGTAAGGACTTCTTGGGGCACCTAAAATCAACATTAAAAAAAATATATATATACTATATACACAGCCAAGTTTATAGATTTTTACAAAAAAAAAAAATTAGGAGACTTGTTATTTTGAAAAAAAATTATCAGATTTTTTACAAAATGTTAAATATTAAAAAAGCAAAATAAATAAAATCAAAATGAAAAAATGTTACCTAGTTAGAGTTTTTTTTTTTTTTTAAACCTGAAAAAATATTTCAACTTTTTTATTTTAAAAAAGATTTAAATGTTAATAAAATCACAATCAGTTTTATTATATAAATTCTGTAAAAATAACAACAATAAATCAGTAGCTAATCAAAATGGTTTCTTTTAGTTTTTTTAGATTTTAAAGCAATAATTTTGTCTTTCCTTTTTCCGCCATTGATAATGATTTGTTTCTTGTTAAAAAAAATATCTATAATTGTATTATTAATAAATGTAATACCACTATTAAAATGTTAATCACACATGAAAATTGTTTACATTGATTACATTGCAAAAATTTTTCACTAACAGAGTTGTCAATCACTGGAATAATTTAGATGATTCGACTGTGTTCCAGAAGAGTGTTGAAAGTTTTAAGAATAGTTTTGACAGAAAGAAAAATCAAATTATGATATAACAATTAACAATGACAGGCATTAAGCCCCAGATCTGCTTATAGCAGAACATGTACTCATGTTCTGTTCCAGGAGTTTCTCTTTTTGCAATGTGTAACAATAATAAAATAATAAACTCATTTATTTTCAGTAAATCTGTTAACTCAAAATATTTAAATTTTGTTTTAGAAGTTTATAATTTTCCATTTTTCTCCATGAACTAAGAAAATTTATATTAAATAGGTATTTATTATTAAGGTAATTTTTTAGACATTAATAATTCAATTTAAGTATTTAATGCATTTTTTAGTTGTTTCAATGAAGAAAAACAAAAGATTTCTGCTCTGACAACAAAATTGGACCAAACTTTTAAAATCCTGAATAACCACTTTGAACAAGAGTCAATTAATGTGAGGTTTTTACATTTTTTTGTTGATGTCTTTAGCGTTTTTTTTTGATAAGTTAATTAAATGGTTAGTTATATGCCTTCATATACATAATTATGTATATACAACATATGTAATTTGTATACATATATGTAATGGTAGTTTATTGCTGAAATTTAAAAAAATAACAATTAAAATAAATTGAATATAATGCAATTGTTTTACACATCTTCGCCCAGGGTTCAAATTAATGCAAAAAAATCTAATTGCAAAAGAAAAATTTCAATCCCCTTCCCTTCATTTTTAACACCGCTTTGAGGTAAAGGGGGGGGGGGGGTTGTGTTATTATAAAATTATATCTTTTCTATAATAGTTCATAATACACCTTTTCACAGTTCCGATATAAAATTTATGCGTGCAGAAATGGAACTGAAAATGTAAATAAACATTATTTCAACGGTTTTAGTTATAGAGGTTTATAATGGAAAAAAATGTAAATACTGAACCTACACCATATAGAAGTTTCAAGAGATCGAAAACACGCGCTCTTATCGATTGTAAAAATAACGAGTACAATCTAGAAATGTGGAAAGATGATTTATGTATGATACAAAATGTTAAACAAAGCTCTAACTTGTGAAACTGCAAACTACCATTTGAGTAAGCATTTGTTATCCATTATCAACACACACAGGTATATAAAAATATAAAAACAACTACAGCTCAGAGAAATATAGAGAAAACTAAATAACCGTTCAACTCCTACAATATTGCGTTATATTAAATTATTTACCATAACATATAAAATAAGAGTATGTTCAGACAGTTTTCCTGACAGAGCACTTTCGTTTAAAATCAATATTTTTTGTTTAACTTAGGCTGCAATGCTCAAAGACTTATATTATTTAATGTAAATAATACAAAATTTTCAAACAATGATCAAACAATGTTTTATAATAGAGCATCAAGAGTTAAAAAAGGAAACTGATAACTTAAAAAAAGAACTTCAGCACGAAATTAAAAAAAGTAAAAATTTATTTGAAAAATTTACTTCAACCACATCAATTATTACTATGAAACAAATTTGTATATAAACATAAATCGTGTTATTGCAATTTACTTAAATACAAACATTTATTTAAAAAATCTTACAACTTTTATACTGACCTTACATCTGTCAATGTGTTTCATCAGTTAGTACAGTATCACCATTAATCAAAAGAAGATAAAGTGATATTAAAAAACATCTACTGCTGCTTTTTAAAATTTTAAAAAACCCTTAACTACTTGAACCAAAATAAATGTTATGAAGCAAAGATAAATTTTTGATGATGCTAATACTTGGATTACTGACAACCGATCTTGGTGACAGGTTTAATATATCTTTAGGATTAGCAAATGCAATACTTTCTTCATGGTTGAAAGCTTCTGGCTCACTCTTAAACTTTGTTCCAAATAAGGATGTTATAAGACAGGCAATGCAAAACAGATTTAAGAAATTAAATTATATAGACTCACACTAAATTTCAAATATATCAGAGTTTATTATGAAAACACCTAAAAGTTTTGACTTACAGAAATTAACAAGGAGTGAATACAAACATTACATTACAATAATATAAAAACATTAGTACCTCGAGCTCAGAATTCATCAATAATTTCTTTAAATAATTTCTAAAGCTTACAGAAGCTAAATTTTGGATAAAGAAATTACAAATCGCAACAAATGTTTATATTGTATTCTAAAATACTCTTGTATAATGTATGATTAAGGGTTTAATATTAACCTAAATGTTCTGAACATTACATTTATTACACAGTTCCCTCTGGTTGGAAAGGTGCAATTCAAATGACTTGATAAATAACAATGAAAAATAAAGAACTAAAAAAAAATTAGAAAGAAATTGCTAATTTAAGGATATTGGTTGAACAAGTTATTAGAAGGCCAAACATATTGTTGTACTAAATTAACTGACATCAGCAATTGAATGGCTTCTTTCTTGCTTACGTAAAAATGTAAAAAACAGAGTCCAAAATTTAGTTTTAACAAATTGCCGGTTATCTAAATTAATGCCACCATTTAAAGGAGAACATTGATACCTCTGTATTTCAAGAGCTTCGCGCACTTTTCGATCAAACTTTTTTGTTTCTACTTTAATTGTTTTAACATCCTCCCACTTTATTTCTTGTGAGCAAAACTTATTATGGGTGGCTATTGTCGACTGATAATATTTCCCCTCGTTTAAACTTTTTTGATGTTGTTGAATTCGAGTCTTAATTTGAAATTTGGTTTCGCCTACGTATCTCTTTGAGCATTCACATTCAATTAGATAAGTTCCGGGTTGACTATTTTGTGGCAATTTAGTTTTGTTTTTTGATGTTAAAAGTGTTCTTAAATTAGGATTTTATTTGAAGACTACTTTATAGCCAACTTTCCGAAATTTTTTCCTTAATTTTGGGGATAGTGATGGTATCCACGGTAATGATACAGTAGGCAGATTAAGAGGACCTGATTGAATTTTGTTGCTTTTTATGGACCGATTATTTCCGATTAAGTTTGCAATGCGTGTAAGTTGACATATGTTGTATCCATTCTCTTTAAATACGTGAATTAGGAAGTTAATTTCATCTTCTAAATATAAATCACTGCATATAGAGTAAGCTCTGTGAACGTAACGAATTTTTCAGACGTGTCTTATTTTTGTTTAAAACAGGTTGTATTTTCTTGACTAAATAATTAGATATTCCATAATTTAGGAGTGCCGATAGTTGATATAACTATTTTCATAGGATAGGATTTTTCAGGTTTATGAGCTTTAATTAGACCATACATATGAGGTGGGATAGGGTCACTTGGATATATATTATCATACTCTGTTTTTGAAAATCGCTGTTTTTTATTAAGTTGTGAGAGATAGGTTTTAATTTTATTAGCATACTTAGAAGTGGGATCTTCACTTAAAACTCTTGTTTGGCCAATTTGTTTGCGAATTTTTTCTAAAGCTTCATTGTGTTCTATTCTTACAAAACTATTACCTTTATCAAACGGATATATGTCGATAAGTTTGTCTTCCTTAATTTCAATAAGAGCTTTCCTTTGTTCTCTAGTTAAATTTTGATTTAATTTTTTACCCATTTTAAGTTCTTTTAACACATTTTTTCTCAAATCCTGCGCATTTTCAATCTTGTTGCTATATTCTAGTTTTAAAGCCGAGGTCTCAGTTGTTGCTATAATAATCATATAAGGTATATATTTCAACGAAGGTACAAAATGCAGACCAAGATTAAGAAGATTGTTTTGGTTTTTTGGAATATCGACATCACATAGGTTTAAAACAGCGTTCTTTGTATGCGTTGTTAATTTACAAATTAATTTCCTAATTCACGTATTTAAAGAGAATGGATACAAGATATGTCAACTTACACGCATTGCAAACTTAATCGGAAATAAACGGTCCATAAAAAGCAACAAAATTCAATCAGGTCCTCTTAATCTCCCTACTGTATCATTACCATGGATACCATCACTATCCCTAAAATTAAGGAAAATATTATGGAAAGTTGGCTATAAAGTAGTCTTCAAATCAAATTCTAATTTAAGAACACTTTTAACATCAAAAAACAAAACTAAATTGCCACAAAATAGTCAACCCGGAACTTATGTAATTGAATGTGAATGCTCAAAGATATACGAGCAGCCGTAGTGTAGTGGTAGCGCACTTGCCTCAGAAACCTAAGATCATTGGTTCAAACCCCACCTCTGGGCAAGTTTTGCGACATCGGTTGGGAAGGAGGCGTGAACTTCCTATAAAATGCTCTTCCGCGGTGCTCTGTGATAAGACCGTAAGGACTTCTTGGGGCACCTTAATCAACTTGAAAAAAAATAAAATAAAAAAATATACGTAGGCAAAACCAAACTTCAAATTAGGACTCGAATTCAACAACATCAAAAAAGTTTAAACAAGGGGAAACATTTTCAGTCGGCAATTGCCACCCATAATAAGTTTTGCTCACAAGAAATAAAGTGGGAGGATGTTAAAACAATTAAAGTGGAAACAAAAAATTTTGATCAAAAAGTGCGCAAAGCTCTTGAAATACAGAGGTATCAATTTTCTCCTTTAAATGGTGGCATTAATCTAGATAACGGGCAATTTGTTAAAACTAAATTTTGGACTCTGTTTTTTACATTTTTACGTAAGCAAGAAAGAAGCCATTCAATTGCTGACGTCAGCTAATTTTAAACTGTTTTTAACATTAAAAAATTTTGTATAAATTTTTACGAGCTGATGATGCTGGTAACCATAAACCAGCGAAAATTTCTAATAATAAATTATCATTTGTATTAAGAGAATTCGTATTATTTGATGTTTTCTTAAAGGGATCCCTAAGTGCTATAAAGATATGATCTCATATGAAAGAGCATAAAAAAAAAAATGTTTGATGTATATTATTTTTTCTAAAACGTAATAATGAACACACACTAACAAATTTAATTTTCAAAAAAACGCTTTTCTTCGATAAAAAAAAATGCGTCTTGTCCAAAGTTTATTGACTCTACTGCCTCAAAAAACTAACGTTAGTACGTCAAGTTAAACAAAGTAGACAAAATGTCATTGTTGCAAACTTATTAGTTGGTAATTAAATTTAAAAGTAAAGTCGTTTTTTTTTTAACTAACACATAATTACTTACAAGAATAAGTTTTGTAGCATTTTGTGAAAATATATTTGTATATTAAAATTTTTTTTATAATATTAATTTATATATTTGTGTTTTAAGGGCAATTCCACGGCTAAAAATGAATAAAAGTCAAATTTTAAACTCTTTTTAGTCAGTTAAAAACAAATGAATATTGACTTAGACATATAAAAGTTTGTTTAAAATATTTCCTTAGTAAAAAAATAAATTTATTTCAGTAATTTTTATATTTTCAAAAGTGACGGTTACAAAAATAATGATTGTAAAATGTTTTAGTTAAATTAACATTTATGTTTGCTATATTTTTTTGGTTAAAATTGATAAGGTT